TTATTCATCATGTATATAAAATTTAGGGGAGAGGGGCAGAGGCAATTATTGGATCATATGCATCTGAGTGAATGAACCAACAAAAGTAATCTCTCTCATCCTCTCTTTTTGTTTATTTATTTATAATTAATCCTGCTTTTCCATTGTTGTAATTAATCAAAATGATTCCTCCAATTTAGAATTACGTAATCCTGTTGCTTGCTCCCCCACTAAACAAATATATAAAACTCCCAGCTGCTCGATGACGATAGCCCCGCGAACACAGATCCAAAAGGGGATTAGATTAGGTAGAGATTTGTACAGTGGAAAACTCTCAATTAATTAATTCATTAATTATGGTATGTAATTAGGGGACAGGTTACGGTGATTACTACAAAGTAGTAATCACCGTGGTTACTAAGGGTAAATTGGGTATGGAAAAATAAATTATATTAATTAATTTTTTAATAAATTACATTTAAGGTAGTTACAAAAATCTATTAATTAAAAATCTCTCTTTCTCTCACTTCCGTAATCTCCAGCCATATTTCCTTTCCATATTTTTTTCAATCTTTCTGCAAAAAAAAAAAAAAAAAAACGAAATCAGTACCAATCCATTAGACAAAGACTACCACTTTGAAAAATATCAATACCATTGCAGAAATAAATCTATACCATTACACGAAAACTACCATTGCAGAATTAAATTTATACCATTACACGAAAACTACCATTCAAGAAATAAAAACACTACCATTTCACAAAACATCAATACCATTCAAGAAATAAAAACGCTACCATTTCACAAAACATCAATACCATTGCAGATTTAATCACTACCAATGCGACAAAATCAATACCAATGCGACAAAATCAATACCAATGCGACAAAAATAATACCAATGCGACAAAAACTATACCAATACGACAATAACACTACCACTACGAAAAAAACTGAATCACCTAACCTTCTCTGAAGTTCGTGGCAATCGATTCTAACACACGAACCAGCTCCACTTGCATATAGAAAATCTAGGTAGGGAATCATACCTGAAATGGTCTCGTACATGTCGAGGATAGGGAAGAGCTTCTCTGGTTTGTGAGGACCGATAGATATGGCTTCCCCAAAGGTCAACAGCTGCAGCATTGATCCCTTTGACATTTCCGGCGTAGATGTGGTGGAATCCGTCGGGAGAGTCGAAGAGCGGCGGGGGCGAGTCGAGGTAATCGCCGGCTCCGTTGGTAGACGGCGGGGAATTCGGCAGGTAGGATCTCCGTCGAGGTGGACGACGATGTGGTCAGGCTGCTCGGATCGCCACCCATCCGACTGGTGACTCGCCCGTGGTCGGAGAAAGAAGCGCGCGGAAGGAGTCGTCGTACAAGCAAACCCTAAGCCATCGTTGGGGAGAGTGAGAGCTTGCGGCTACGGCGGGTTTGGCTGTAGAAGTAGGGTTAGGGTAGAATATATAGAATAATCAGGTGTGGTCCTTTTTTTTCTTCCAAAATTATCCTGAGCCAATCTTAACCATAAGATTAAAAAAAGAGGAAAGAGAAGAAAATAAATGGTGGATACTGATGTAGCCACGGTGGCTACTAGAAATTCAGTTTCCACCCTAACGCATTCCATGTAATTAGTGCGGTCCCTTTTTGTACCCTTCATTTTCCACAGCGCGGGGAGAAGATCAAAATGCGTAATGTGATTTTTGATGAGGAGATTCTCTATTCTCTTGTGGAAATAGATTCCCACTTTCGATTATTATTAAATTAATTAATCTTCTTATCTTTGTGTAATATTAATTAATAAGTTTGATGTCGCGGAAAATAAAAGAACACGATGATTTACGTGGTTTCCCCGAAGATCGGGACACGATGATTTACGTGGTTTCCCCGAAGATCGGGACTAGTCCACGGAGAGCAGAGCTCTCAGGTAGGATTTCACTATGTCTCTGTTCAAAGAAGAAGAACACAGCCGCTAAACCTCATTAGGGTTCTAGTTCGGCCAGCACAAAGCCTATATACCCTTCCACCAAGACACGGGTATTAGGCAAAATAACAAAGTCATCAAGCAATAAAATAAAATGTACAAATAAGTACATATCCCACGTCAACACTCCCCCTCAAGCTGGAGCATGAAGGTCACAAATGCCCAGCTTGGACAACAGGGTGTGAAACTGATCCGTACCCAGCGCCTTAGTGAAGAGGTCCGCCAGCTGATGATGAGTACCAATCTTACGCGGATGAATCTCACCGGAGGCAACACGTTCACGGACAAAGTAACAGTCCATCTCGACGTGCTTGGTACGCTCGTGAAACACAGGATTAGCTGCAATGTGGAGAGCAGCCTGGTTATCACAGTATATGGGAGTAGGAGCAGACTGGGGAACCTGTAACTCACTCAGGAGATGTCGTAACCAGAGAATCTCGCTGGTGGTGCTCGCCATGGCTCGGTATTCAGCTTCAGCAGATGATCGAGCTACTACCCGTTGCTTCTTGGCCCGCCAGGATACTGGAGCTCCGCCAAACTGAATGTAATAACCAGTAGTAGAGCGACGACTAAACTGGCAACCCGCCCAGTCAGCATCACTATAAGCTACAAGATCAAAGGACCCATCAGAAGGAAAGAACAAGCCCTGACCCGGTGCGGTTTTCAGGTAGCGGAGAATACGCTGAGCTGCTGTCATGTGAGCAGGGCTCGGCGAATGAACGAACTGGCTCAGCAAGTTAACTGAGTAAGCGATGTCCGGTCGAGTGATCGTGAGGTAAAGAAGGCGACCAATCAAACGCCGATAAGCACCCACATCCTCAAACCGCTCATCTGTCGGCGAGTGAGATCGTGGTTTTGCTCCATGGGAAACCCACTAGGCCGAGCTGCGGACACTCCCGAGTCGGCAAGAATGTCAAGGGTATACTTTCGCTGGCTAAGTACTATACCCGCAGGAGAACGGGCCACTTCAATGCCCAAGAAGTACTTCAGCGGACCCAAATCTTTGATGCTGAACCGCTGATTGAGAAACTGCTTGACCTGATCAATAGTAGCAGGATCATTGCCAGTCAGAACCACATCATCAACATAAATAAGCACTGTGACGAAGACACCCGCCTTCTGATATAGGAAGAGAGAGTGATCAGCCCGGGAAACAATAAATAAATAAATAAAAACCTAGAGGAATTGTGAAACGTACTTGAGAGTATAGTGTAGGAAAGATTGAGTGGTGATATGATAACTTTGTCTTTTGATGGTTTTGCTTTTGTTATTAAGTCGCTCATCATGGCGCATGGGATGCTGGACAACTGTCTTTTTGTATTGAGATTGATTATAGTAGTACGATTTAGCTTCTCACCAAGTCGGGATATTGTGATGTGATATATCTCTCTTATTCAGAGTTTTCGAGATCTCATAGAACGAAGTTGGTTAGTTGAGATTCGTCATATTTATACAGAGAGTAACAAGTGAGTTGATTACATGGCTAGTCAAGGTCATTCTTTAAACTTTTGTTTTCATCATTTCCCGGGTACAATCTAACATAGCCTATATAAAATCGATCATTGAGTTTTGTATGATCTTATGTGAATTTCTGAACCCCGATCATTGAGTTCTTCTGGATTGAGAAACTGAGGAGCTACAAATCTCCCTTATTGAAAGATTTTGAGATCTCATATAACGATATTGGTTAATTTTTTATCTTAGAGAATAACAAGTGTGCTGATTATTTGGCTATTCCAGGTAAAACATTTTAGACTTTTGTTCCATCCTGTAACAAACCCTACTATAGGTAATTGAACATTGTACGATATTTTGGAGATTTTTGTTGATTTTGAATTTTAAACAAAAATTAAGATGATCTTTGCATTCATTCATAAAAACAAAAAATTAAAAAGTCGATCCTCAATCACAGGTCGAAAATGTAATATACAAAATGAATACTACCAACCAGGGGCGGAGCTACACATAGGCTCGGGGGGGGCCCCGGCCCCCCCGAGAATTTCAGAACTTACGTATAAACTGTATCGGTATTTGAAAGTTTCGTATAGGCCGATGCGTTTGTATAAGATTGTTTAATGTGCACTATTGCAACAACAAAGCAAACTGGCCCAGTGGCCGGATTCCATCTATTGCGGCCATCAGAATATGTGTTCGAATCTCATAGGTGGCATATTTTAATTTTAGTTTTAATCTCTCATTAACTTTTATTTTATAGATTTTCAATTTTGTAATTTCAATATGGTTTCTTAACTCTTTTATTTTCAATATTAAGTTTTATATGGATTCAAATTGATGCTATGATGATATTAAAAATTTATTTTGATTATTGTTTTTATTAATTTTATTGCCTTTTCGCAGTAACAAAATAAATCCCCTTCGAAATGTCAAATTTTGTCTTCGTCTCTAACTCAAAGATGAAATGCATTTTATGCACTTTCAACTGCAACCGGTAAATCAATACTAATTTTAGAAGCACATAAATTAATGGAGTCATAAACAAAACATATGGATACGACGTATTCACCTTTTTGAGTTTGTCTGCACAAAATAAGTTGTAGTATTGATCTTATTTTGAGTAACTCTAATCCTCTAAAATGCTAGTTATAATAATATTAAAAATATTTTTTCCTTAATTTTTATCGTCTTTTCGAAGTAGTAGAATAAAAAAATCCGGCCCCCCCGAACTTCAAATCCTAGCTCCGCCCCTGCTACCAACGATTAAACATATTGTACATCACAAACTCTTTCTCCAATCTCATTCCAGCCAAAATTTTACACGTCTTACCTTACCACTATAGAATGACCAAAAAGGAAAAATGCCTAACTAGTTCTATTAATGAAAAGAACCTTTCATTAATGCATTGAGCTGACAAATAAATCATTCCCGCCATAGAGACTTATCCAAAAAGTATACGGATCTACACATTATTGATCAGATGGTTAAATGGGATTTGGATCTAAATTTCTCAACCACAAATCGCTATATATAATAAGTGCTCCTCGCCTCCTCCTTTTGCCACTTCCACCATCAACAAAACGGCTCACAGCAAAGAACTCTGTTTCATCGTCAACCACAAAAATGGCATCCGGAAACTGCGAGCCCCAGTTCCCGCCAGAGAGCCAGCCAACTCAGCCGGCCAAGGAATACTTGATGCAGCCTCTCCCTCTGCCCCTCAGCCCTAAACCCTACAAACCCTCTGACAAACTCCTCGTAAACTCCCATTCCAAACCCTTCAATAACAACTTCATTTCGTAAATTTATTAATGCATACATTGTGTTGATGCAGGGGAAGGTAGCTCTGGTGACGGGAGGCGACTCTGGAATCGGCAGATCGGTGTGCCTACACTTCGCCATGGAAGGCGCCACAGTCGGGTTCACGTACGTCAAGGGCATGGAAGACGTCGACAAGGACGAAACCATCAGACTCATCAAACAAATCAAACGCCCTTCCTCCAGCAGAGACCCGATCGCCATAGCAGCAGACCTTGGAAACGAATCGGAGTGCCAGAGGGTTGTTGACGAGTTTATTAAAGAATACGGGACCATCGACATCCTGGTCAACAACGCGGCGATTCAGTACTACACCGACTCCATCGACGACATAACCGAATCCAGGCTGGAGAACATATTCAGGACCAACATATTCGCCTACTTCCTCATGGCGAGGTTCTCACTGAATCACATGAAACGAGGGAGCTGCATCATCAACACCACCTCCGTCGCGGCCTACAGAGGGAACAGCGAGCTGCTGGAGTACAGCGCCACGAAGGGAGCGATCGTGAGCTTTACGAGGAGCTTCAGTGCGAGGCTCGTGGAGCAGGGCATTCGGGTCAATGCGGTTGCTCCCGGACCCGTTTGGACGCCGATACAGGTGGCCAAGATGCCGCCGGAGAGGTCGACCACGTTGGGATGCGAGGTGCCGATGAAGAGGGCGGCAGAGACGTATGAGATCGCGCCGTCGTATGTGTTTCTGGCTTCTGATGATTGCTCTTCTTACTTCACTGGTCAAGTCCTGCATCCAAATGGTAATGTTATAAACGTTTTACTTAACTAGTTGCACCTTTACTTAATGAATAGAAAACTTCAACATTTACAATTTTTTTTTTTTTCAATTGCGTGCAGGGGGCTTGATCGTTAATGCGTAAACCGTTGAACGGCGTTGCAAATAAGATACGAATGGGGATCGTGTTTCTCCCATCAATAATGTCAGTGTCACCGTTCACAAAGAAGATACGAATGGTGAATTGATCGTTGTATAGACCGAATGAAGTCTGTTACATGTATGCATGATTTATTCATAACAACATAGCTTGTTTCATGTGTATCCATCCCACTTAATCAGTGTATCACGAATCATTAGTAAAAAAAAATTACTATCTAGAACTAGAATTAACTAGAGTTGGGACATAAGACTTTACCTCAAGTCGTAATAAGAAAAACATGAACCTTAATTCTCTACATCATATACCTTAAGATCAATTTAGTTAGAAATTATAATCAACGATTCTTATTTGTCATAATACATCTAATATGTTATATGTATCATTGTAGGGTTTATAGTGTGTGGCTATGTGGAGTTTAGGGGATTAGTACCTAGGGGTCACTCACAAAAAGTTAGAGTATCGTATCATGTTCCAAAATTCTATTAATTCAAAGTATAAATAGCATTTTCTTACTAAACATATGTAATATCCTAAATTAACTCCAAATATGGAGGAAATCGCATAAACAAATTGGGTGTGTATTATTATGTGAAATCCAAGTAACACATCGTAAATACAAGGAAAATCACACTTTTATATATATGTATCCACCTAACTGTTGAATTTGCTGAACTGAACTGAACAATAAACAACACACTGATTTACGTGGTTTCCCCGATAACGGGACTAGTCCACGGGAGAGTTTTACCTCTCCGAGCTGAGAATATTATTAGGTTTTTCGTAGTTCTGGCTGGTAGGTTACAACATGAATTTATACAACTTCCTCCCTTCTAGCCTTCTACATACGTCGGCTGGCTAGGGCTCTCTACTGGGCTAAAACCCGAAACTACATACATGGGCCACAAACCAAACCCAAAAGACCCAAACCCGCTAACAGCCTCCCCCAAATTGATGACTACTCCGTAGCATCAATTTGTCATAGAGGAACCAGTGGCGAGCACGAGAGAACGGCTTCGTAAACAAATCCGCCAGCTGGTCTTCAGAGATCACATACTTAAGGCGAACAATCCCGTCACGGACCAGATCTCGAATGTAATGGACATGAATCTCAATATGTTTCGTACGATCATGGAGAACCGGATTGGCCGCAATCTGAATCGCACTTGTATTATCCACATACATCGTGAGCGGAGAACTACACTGCACACCCAAATCCGCCAGCAGCCGCTGCAACCATACCAACTCAGAACCCACATCAGACATAGCCCGATATTCAGCTTCCGTCGAGCTCTTAGACACCTTGTCCTGTTTCTTGCACCGTCAGTTAATAAAAGCACCACCAAAACGAATACACCAACCCGTCGTCGAACGACGAGTATCCACACACCCAGCAAAGTCAGAATCAGAAAAAGCCTGCAGAGTAGAGTCACCCGCGGACGGGAGAAAAAGACCCTCATCCCTCGTCCCCTGTAAATAACATAATATACGATGAACTGCAGCCAAGTGGTCAGTTCTAGGATCCGACATAAACTGACTCACGACCTGTACCGCATAGGAAATATCGGGACGAGTAGAAGTCAAATATAGCAAACTGCCAACCAAATGCCGATACTGGGAGGTATTAGAAAGTGGTGCACCAGAGTCCTTGGCCAGTTTCAGATTAGCTTCCATGGGAGTAGATACCGAGACACAATCCGCAAAGGCGGCCGACGTCAATAGCTCCGAGATATACTTCTTTTGACTCAGCAAAATACCCTGGGGAGATCGATTAATCTCAAGACCCAAGAAAAAAGACAGAGTACCAAGCTCCTTCAACGTAAAAGACTCATGGAGACCCTTTTTGAGCCGTTGGATGCCGGACAAATCATCGCTTGTAATAATCATGTCATCCACATATAAGAGTAGAACAATAAGCCCAGCAGCTGACCGATGAGTAAACAATGAAGGATCATTAAGACTTTGTTGAAACCCGAGACCAAGAATCGTCGTTTGGAACTTCTCAAACCAAGCGTGGGGCGCCTGTTTGAGACCATAGAGCGATCGTCGAAGCAAACAAACCTGATCTGGGCGCCCAACCTTATAGCACGGGGGACGACGCATATAAACAACCTCCTTTAAATCACCATGCAGAAAAGCATTCGAGACATCCAGTTGAAACAAAGGCCAGTTGCGAATGGCAGCCACCGCAAGGAGAGTCCGAACCGTTTGCATTTTCGCAACCGGAGCAAACGTTTCCTCATAATCCAGCCCGTACTCCTGTCCACAACCTTGAGCGACAACCCGAGCCTTCGGGCGCTCAATACTCCCATCGGCGCGAAGTTTCAATGCGTAGACCCATCTTGAACCCAGAACTGGCACATGAGGAGGCGGCCTGTCCACGACTTCCCAAGCGCCCTTAGCATGAAGGGCATCTATCTCCACATCCATCGCACCATCCCACATCGGATCACCGTGAGCCTGCTTAAAACACGTAGGAACAGAAACAGCGTCAACATTATATGTAACAAAATCATTATACCTCACTGGGCGTTGGCCTTGCGTAACCCGATGAGAAAGCCGAAGAACAGGTTGCTCCACTGGCGGTGAGGAGGACGAGTCATCCGACGAGCTGGTCAAAGAAGAACCAGGAGAGCCAGACGACGATCCGACAGGAGGCGAGTCGGGGGGAGGCGATTCGGGGGGAGGTGGTTCATCAGACGTCATCGAGATCATCAGGAAATGAAGGCAACCGAACAGGCCCCGATAACCAACCCGAAGAAGCATCAGAATCCGCAGTAAAATACATGGTCCGCTCAAAAAAAATATGACATCGCATGAGATCCGTAGACGCTGGGCAGAGGAGTCAAAACATAGGTACCCTTTGTGAACATCATTGTAACCAAGAAAAACACACCGAACAGTTTTGGAAGACAACTTCGTGCGTTCCTTTCTTGGGAGTAAGACAAAACACATACATCCAAACACCCAGAGCCGGGAATAATCCGGATGTTTCTGAAAAAGCATGAAATGCGGACTCTTCTGCCCAAGAACCGGAGTAACCTGGTAATTAATCAATCGTACAGCAGTGGCAACTACCTCAGGCCAAAACCGGGGCGGAACTGATGACGCAAGCAGCAAAGCTCGAGTCAATTCCACTACATGCCTATTCTTTCTTTCAACTAGGCCATTCTGCTGAGAAACACCGGGGCATGATTTCTGAGTTAAGATACCCTGATCCCGAAAGAAAGCAGCCAAAGGGTGAGAACTGAACTCACCTCCGGGATCCGAGCGTACCACCTTCACTGTATGCCCAAACTGTGTCTGAATCATCTTAACAAACTCCTGAGCAATGGCAAGCAACTCAGATTTAAGCCGAAGAAAATAAACCCAGATGAACCGAGTCGCATGATCGACAAACAAAGCAAAGTACTTATAACCATGGCGGGACGTATCCGGCGAAGGACCCCAAAGATCTGTATGAACCACATGAAAAGGTTCCGATATAACGGTAGTACTAGAAGGAAATGAGCTACGCGTCGTCTTGGCTTCAATACAACTAGTGTAAACGAACTCAGCAAAGGAGCTATCAACCTTTTTATTACCAAATAATTGCTGTTTGAACATAGTACTCAGTCTACTCGAATGAGGATGACCCAAACGAGAATGCCAAAGATCAATATCCGAATTCTTAACACTAGAGAAAGCCGAAAACAAAGGCTGAGAAACTGATCCCCCAGACACCAAATCCGACGCCTCAGGGACTGACTCCGACGAACAAGGTTGACCCGACAGCTCCTCCAGCTGAAAACTCCTCCCCCGTTTACTTCCCCGGCCGATCTGCCTCCCCGTCGTCCGATCCTGAATAAAACAGCCAGAAGAGTCGAACACAACACGATAATTTTGCTCAGTAAGCTTACCCACCGAAACCAAGTTTGGCACTAGTGTAGGAACATGTAATGTACGAGGTAACGATAGCCGAGAATCCTGAACATCACCAATATTCTCAACAGATAGGCGAGACCCATTAGCCACTTGAATAGACAAATTCTTAACTGGGCGAGCATCACACATCTTAGTCTTATCATTTGTCATATGATTAAAACATGCGGAATCGAGAAGCCAAGGTTTAGATAAAATACCAGACCCATGCATCGTGGAGAATGCATTGGTAATCGCTGTGGGGAGTGACCTGTGAAGAGCAGCATTAATGAGCCTCTCCACATCCGCCGCAGTCAAGCCCGAGCTAGCCGAGGACGCAGACGAGCCCTCTCCCGGACCAGCAGCAGCGGACGGGGCACTAGCACCCGAGTACGCACCCCCAGCGGGAGCAACGGGCGATTGCGACATACCCTGAGGACGAGCCTTCAACCTTCGGCACTCCGAGATGATGTGCCCTCCTTTCTTGCAAAACACACAAAAATTGCGAACCTTGCAATACTTTTGAACATGACCCACCTCTTGACAATGATGGCAGGTAAGCTCCGACACCGGAACTCGGCGCTGAAATTGCGGCTTCCCCACCGCAAATGCTTCATCTCCCGCAGCAGGAGAGGGAGCTTCATGGCGACGTGAATGACCAGCCACAAATGCATGATCACCCACTCCAGGTCGCGCGTCCAGCTGTAATTGCGTACGCAATCGCGTCTCTTCTCGGACCAACGTACTCAACACCCCGTCAAACTTGATGTCTTCCCGATTAAGCAACGTTGCCCGGACATTCTCAAACTCAGGCCGAAGCCGCATCAAGAAGTTCATTAGCCGAGTCTGATTTCGCTCAGCAACAACATCAGCCGTCACTGCCGCTGGTCGAAGCGAAGCAGCCAAGAGGTCCTGCTCCGTCCAAAGCAGCTGAGCAGCCTGGAAATATGCCGTCACATCCAAGTCTACCTGTTCCAAACGAGCGAGCGCCGTTTGCAATTCAAATTGCCTAGCGACACTCGTTGTCGAGTACGTCGAAGCCAGATAGGCCCACATCTCCGACGCAGCTCTGAACAACCTTAATCCCAGAGCAATATTCGGATCCACTGATCCGAGAATCCAAGTCTTCATCCGAGCATTGTTTTGCACCCATCGCTCAAGCTCCTGCGCCGTAGCCGACGGGACTTGAGGCCTCGGCAGAGAACCATCCAACAGCGGAAGAAGCCCT